ACGCTAAGAGTGGGGAGCCAGGGCTCCGTCCACGAAGAGCACAGACCCTGCCCTGCAAAAATACAGGACCAAAAAAGGTGAAATTCGAGGCAACAACTTCACCTGTCCAACACTCAGTTTCTTCCTACATAAAATGAGATACGGCCCTGTCTACACCAGCCCTCCTTGAGAGAATCAAAATAAGAATGGGTCTGGAAAGACTTTATGGGCTGCAAAGAGCAATGTGGTTTAAAGGAATGTCATTTTCTGTGGTTCTTCAGATTTTTTTTGATTGCGAGGATTTTGTGCAATTGCTTTTGGGAGGGAAAGGTGTTAGATGGCGGTTTTAACTCACCAGGGTTTGAATGTCACTTCAGGATGCCCTGCTGTTGTTCTGTCTCTTTCATCTCACATCGTTTCCCAACGGGCCGCGTGGTCACTGAGCCCCCTCTACGCTGTAACAGAAATGATGTTCCCTGCATGTGAAATCTGCGCGTGTTACAGCGCTTGGCACTCTGAAGTCTTAGAGGAGAGAGCAGAGAGGAGCCTTGGTATCCTTGCTATGTAGAAAATTCTGTTTTCCTCTGTTTCTCTTTTCACATATTTGTTTAATGTCATACTAAAAGAGTGCTGAAGTGTCTAAGCACTTTGAAGCTACAAAAGGCTCTTTAAAAAAAAAAAAGTTTTACCTGTATAGGTTTATTATATCATTTCTATTAGGTTTTGAAAAATACTGAAAAGTGACCCCAGACACCCATGATTATTCTGCGGGACCCGGGGAGGAGAGCTGCTGCTTTCAGCTCTGGGTCAACGTGCCGTCTGAACGCAGACTCCACTCGACAGCCATTTCTGGTGCTTCCTTCCCAGTATTCCCCACCCCAACCTACCACCGCAGAAAAGTCCCTGGCATTACAATATTTTACCACGCTAGGTAACATTTAGCCAGCAGAGCTCATCTAACAAGTACAAGCCAGACGCCAGGCCATTTGACAGCTTACTATGGGTCAGCGCTGTGCGGAGCACCTGCCTTCCACTGTCTCAGGACTGGCTCAGGAGGTGCATATCAGCGCGCATGTCGTCGCACAGATAAAGGAACCTGGGAGTTCAGAGAGGTTACATACTTTGCCAAAAGCCAAACCAAACCACCAGGAAGGGATGAAGCCAGAATTCAAACTGAAGTCCCTCCTTTGCAGTCTCTAAATAAAAGAAAAACTTGAACTACCGGAATGTTGAAAGTGACAACACAATACAGATGGCTGAATTTTGTATTCATTACTGGTAACTTTTTAGAAGAAATCTGTTGTCTGTATTTTTTTTTGGTCTGATTTTTTACTCTTACTACTGTTTACAAAAATACATAGAAAAAGAAGGAGGGAATCCTCTATTAGAGCCAGTGCCCAATTTTCACTCAGAAAGCAAGATAATCTGAGAACATACGAAGCCACTTCTCCTCTTGGAGACCCTCTGACTCTCAGAAAATGTCCTGGGGACAAGCGGAACCACAGCAGCGCTGGGGACAACACCCCTGCTGACGGGCAGAGCACCTGAGGTCACTCAGGCAGTTTGGTCAAACAATGGAGAAGAGGAGACGAATGCTGTTACCGAATATATCAGGGCGACCTTCTGTCTCCCCAACTGCTGGAATAAGACATGCCCATCAGCATGTTTTAATCGTGCAACATTAAAACCTAGAGTCTTAAAACCGCCACTCTGAGTGAGCCAGACATCATATAAACTCCTTGGAAGTGGCTTCCAACAGCTCTATTCCAAGGCAGCTAAGTGGGCCTTCCTACTCTCCCTCCATACTTTCAGCAAACTGGCAAAAAGACAACATTCTTGCCCTGAGGTGCCCTGTGAGCAGAGAGAATAAACAGAGAGGGGTGCGTCTGCCCACCCGAGGAGCTCCACACAGAATGAATATGCAGATAGAACACTCAGTTTTACAGCTCGGAACTCGGTTATAATGAATTTTTCCCTTTCTGAGACAAACAATGCCGGGCATTACAATGTGTCAAATACTAAGTTTGAACTATGACATAAAAAACCCTGCGCAAAAAGTTGGCCAAAGGCCAAAAACGCGTGTTTGCACCTGAGTGTATCTGTACATAAAATGTATCTGCGAGGTCAGATAAGGAGAGTTCCCAACTGGAAAACACATTTTTAGAAGCTGCCTTCTAACTGCCCCCCAAGTGTCACCTACCATATCTGAGAAAATGTGATACAAATTTAAAACTCTCAGACATAAACCTTTGTCTGAATTGTCCCGACAGTAACAATTCCATTCCATGGTGACCTCAGAAACTTCCTTTTTTGTTTTTTCAACCATAGAACATAATTATTCCTGAAGAAATCACTCGTTTCCTTCAAAATAAGTTAAACCCTCATGCAATTAATATGACAGGAAAACACTCTAGTGGCTCATTTATTTAACAATATTGTTGATGTTAAACTTCTGGCACAAGAAGGGTAAGGAGCATGTTGGGGGCGGGGGCATGGACTCGCCCTGTGTGCCTCGAGGTTTGAGAATTCCGCTCCGACCCCCTGGAGGCACCAGGAAGGCATAACACATGTCCCTCTAGGCCAGCTGGACTGGCTGATTTGTCCTCAGTCATATACAAGCAGTTGACAGAGGAAACGGTGCTAAATCTACGGGAATGATCTAACCACTCCTCTAAACTAATCAGACTTAACAGAACTCATGGAGTGGATTACAAAGATATTTCTAATGTCATCAGTGTCATGGTATCATGATTTCTTGACTGTTATTTTAGTTGACTTCAAAGGAGAGGACGTGACCTGTGGCTGTTGACAGTTCACCTAAGTCAACGGAGCAGGTGGGGGGGGGGTACCACAGAAGCACCCTGATGCATGTGGCAGCCCTGGTGAGGAATCTAAGGCGGCAATCAGTGACACTGACAAGTGTCATTCAGAAAATGGGGGTGAGGGAAGCAAACTTTGTCACATAAGCAAAGTTGCAACTGAATATACGTAACTGTTCTAAAGGTTGGGGGTGTGCGCAGTAGATACAATGAGGAGACTCACAAATAAATACAAGCATCTCTTAGCTCTGCGTCTCCCTTATGAACCCAGAGGGATTTGATCTTTAATTCACTTGAGGAGTAGACTGGTAACTACCAGCTGAGTACCTACTATGTGCCAGACACCTCAGTCTTCTCTCACGCGGTGGACCACCAGGACCCTGATGAAGGGAAGGGAAGCCCCTTCCGTGGTGGATGGTCATGCTTTGCTCCTGCCACTCCAGACACCCACGCTGCGTCAGACTCTGAGCCACAGCAAGGCTCGGAAGATCAAGGGGACCAGTCGCAGCAGCCCTTTTAACTTTGGGAAAACCCAATGCTCACTTCACTCAAACGTCGCAAAGTGGTACCATGACCCTTTAGCTCTTGGCTCACCAATTCAAAGAGACACATCACATACAGCCCTTGAGCTGCCCACTGCATGATTCCGTGTCTAGTTCCTTTCCAGGTTCCCCCAAGCGGAAGACAGCTCTGGTAGGAAGTCTGGGCAAGATTACTACAGCATTTAGCTTTTGTCCCTTCTTTTACTATGTCTTAATGTGGAATAAGGCACACAGGTCTCAGGGACTGAGTACTTCAGTATATGCTGGACTTGAGACCTGAACTCGAAGGGGACCTGTAGGAACTCAGGTTCCCTTAACCTCACCTAAGAGCCTCCATTTCAAAGAGGAAGAGCCCTGGCTGGTGTGGCTCAGTGGACTGAGTGCTGGCCTGTGAGCCGAAAGGTGGCCAGTTCGATTCCCAGTCAGGGCACATGCCTGGGTTGCAGGCCAGGTCCCCAGTTGGGGGCATGCGAGAGGCAATTGACTGATGTGTCTCTCACACATTGATGTTTCTCTACCCCCCCTTCCCCTCTCTCTAAAAGTAAATAAATAAAATCCTTAAAAAAAAAACATGAAGAAACTGAGATTCAAAGAAAGTACAGCAGGGTCCATTTCCCCGAGAGCAGTGGAAGGCCAGGGTCGAGAGCAGACTCGACCCTGATGCCAGGCTCCTGCCTCTCTGATTTTACTGAGCACCTAACCAGGTAGGGAATGGGCCAAACTGAAGAGACCAGATTTCATTCCCTTAAGCACAGGTGTGACAATCTACACACAGTCACACTTCCTCCCTGGGCAGTAGTTTTCTTGCCTGTAAAATGGTGAGAAAAGGTGTTGTAGTGGTGATTTCTAATGTGCCTTTTGGGTCTAAAACTATCATAAGGCTTGAGGATACAATTATGTGTTGGTGTATGTGAGCATACATGCATATGACATGCTACAATTAAATGCCGTTTTCAACCACACGCTTTACCTAATCGCCCAGTGACCATGTCTTCCCAGTCCCAAACCAGGGCTAGAAGCATCCCAGCAGTGCAGGCCCCCACAATCCCAGGTATGAGGTCAGGGCCTCTCTAGCTTCATTCCAAACACTAAGTGCAGAGATTGAGAAGGAAGAAGAGGGGCCATGTACTTTACATGAAATGTGCTTTGAAATAGTTAAGTGTCATTGAGTTCCGTGGAGGAAACAGCAAGTCTGTGGCAGGCTGGGCTGTGGGGAACAGAACACACAGCGGGAAGCCCAGGTTGAAGGTGACAGACTATGGCTGCCCGAACCTGGGGCCCCGCTGGCAGTGCACCTAGTGGGCAGCGCACGGCCTTGCGTGGAACAAGGCTTGCGTGGAACAAGGCTGGCTCCGAGCCTACGTTTGAGGGCAGTACCCTGTCCTCCCAGGTTGGCACATCCCGTGTAAGCAGCTCTGAAAACCTGTGGGTAAGGGTGTGTGGCGGGAACGTGGCTCCGATTTCCTACTGCACGTGTCTCGGCCCAGTGCGGAGTTAAAACGACCCGTCCCGCCCGTCCCGCCCGCCCGCCGCGCCCAACGCGGGGGCCGCCGCCTGAGCGGCCGGCACTAGGACCCTGAGCGCCGCGCGCACTTCCTGCCGCCGCGGTCCGAGCCGCCGCGCGGCGCCCCCTGCTCGCTCCCGCCCGCCCGCCGCCTACCTGGCGAAGCAGTGCTCGCAGTGGTTGCCCCGCTCGTTGACCGTGAGCACGTAGGCGTAGGCCGGGCAGGAGAAGAGCAACTCCCCCACCTGGAAGGGCCGCAGGGCCCGCAGACCCCGGCCCTTGCCCGGGCTGGAGAAGCGCTCCAGGCCGCCGTCCCCCTCAGCCCTCATGGTGGCGGCCGGGCGGGCGGGCTGGCACGGAGGGGCACCCGGCGCTGGCTGAGCCTGAGCTGCGGCTCCCCGCGAGCTGTTATTGGAGAAGCGTCACCCAGAGCTGCGGGGGGCGGGGTGGGAAGCCGCCTGGGCGACGCGGCGGCGGCCACCGCTCCCCGGAAGGGACGGCGGCCCCGCCCGGTCCTCGCGCGCTCCCGCCGGGAGGGGGACAGGCCCTGCGGCCCCGCCCCGAGCGTGGGACCCTCCGCGAGCGCCCCGCGAGCAATCGGGCCGTTTCCGGTGTGGCCGCGACAAAGAGCTGCAACCCTGGCGGCTCCTGGAAGGAGGGCGTGAGACGCCTGCGCCTCCGCGGCGTCTCCGCGGCGAGAGCGGGACGCTGTCCCCTGTCCCGTGGGCGGAATGCGGTCCTACGGGGACAAATATCCAAGGCCACCCCTGGACAGTCGCCTTGTCCCATAGGATGCCCTGCCCTTGGTCACTTGAAGGGAGCTAAGATGTTTCTTTGTGTCCTTAGTCTTCTGTGCTTAGACCCTAGAAGGAGTGAGTCCTCGGGAAACACGGAAGAGAAATCACAGTAGGAAAGTTTGATGTGCTGAGAGCTGTGAGGCTTTAAATCGCCCAGGGAGTCTCTGGGAGCGTTGGGTTTGAACTTAGTCCTCCTTCTGCTCCCCAAGGGGGCGGTAGATGCGTGGGCCGCGGAGGAAGCTCACCGGGGGCCGCGGAGCTCACGGACACTGCGAGCGCTGAGTGATGCAGGGGAAGCAGGAGACAACCTCGCCTTCAAGGACCTTAGGCTCTTGTGAGGGGGCAGTGCCATGCTGTGGCCAGAGCCCTGAGCTCTGGTCTTGACAGTCGTCCTAGACGAGCCAGGTTATGAGTTGCCTAGAGGACTTAAACCCCCAAAGCGCATAGGACAGCGCTTAGCATTAGGCCTGCACACGTGGGCTATTGGTGTTACATGAGAAAGAAGGATGTGATCTGTGTGCAGGTAGGATTGTGTAAAGGCCGAAACTGATGGGCATGCAGTAAAGACTAAAAGTGTGAAGAGACAATTTAACAGAAAACGCTAATATTGGACACTCAAGTGTGCTCTCAAACTATGTTACCTGTGTAAGTTCAAGACTAGGTTAGCAAAAGGAAAGATGAATGTGATTTGGAATATATCTTGAGATCAGTCCAAATTGTGAACTTCAATGAAATTCCTAAAATGAATGAGCCTCTGGCCTTCCTGTAAGGAAACACATATCAGGAATACTATTTCACGTAAGCATTTTAAGAAACATTCACCGAGTGCACCCCTTATGTGCCAGACACTGGGATAGAAAGATGGACAAAATATATGTCTGGGTCTTTGCAATCAACACATTCACAATCCAGTAATGATTACCAGTAATGAATCCAGTAATGATTCGTTATCAAGTATTATTGGCCAGGCATTGTACTAAGTGCATTAATCACAGTATCTCATTTAATCTGTAATTACAACAGGCCAATGAGTCAGGTGTTAAAGCTCCCATTTTCAATATTAGGCAACTCGCACTCAGAATAACTTCCAAGGCCACACAGTGAGTTGCAGAATTTGGTTTCAACCTCAGGTCTGTCTGAAGTTGAGGCCCACGCTCTTAACCCAACCATCTCTGTGCAAACAAATACAGCTCACATAGTGTTATTTTATAGTGGCTTGGACAAAGTGTTCTGTAGTAATATAGACAGCAAGTGATAAACTCAGCCAGAGGAGTGAGGGTTTGGTCAAGGCTGGTGCCATATTCATGTGATGTTTGAGCTGAGTCTGAAGGACGGACAGGACTTTGCACGTACAGGAGAGAGCAGTTTTCTAGGCCAAGAGAACTACTGCAAAGGCAGGACTTGAAAGAACAGTGTGTAGCTGGGTCCCCTGAAGGATTCTGAGTGGAGTGTAAGTTCTGAAGGAAAGGGCAGGTGCTGAGGCAGGATCAGGGGGCTGGCATCTTCTCCAGAGGAGAGTTTTGTCCCAGACATGGTGTCGGAGTCCCTGGAAGTGTTCAAGCAGAGGTGCCATAATCAGGCCAGTGTTCTAGACCGAGTTCTACTGGCAGCTTTGCAGGGAGAATGGGAGGGAAGAGGGCTGAACACAAAACCACCAACCAGTTAACGGGCCATTTGCAGTATTTTAAATGACAGGTGAAAAAAGCCAGAAGAGGACAGTGGCATTAGGGAAAGAGGCAAAGATGTGTAAAGGTAATTCCAATTTCTTCCTTGGCATTAGGTTTCTCCATGTGGGTAGATACATGGCAAGCAGATAACAGATGGTGTCGGCTTTCTAGCTGTAGCCTGATCAATGTTATAGGCTGAAGACAGGAACCATAAATATCCTAGAATTTGGGGACTGGAAGAGGCATTTTCTGACTGTGGGAAATGAGGCGCTGTGAAGTTAAGTAACTTGCCTCATAACCCAGTGGCAGGTAGAGCTAGCATGAGATGCCACCACATGCACATGTAGCATTTAAATATTCGTTACGTGCTTCCTGTGTCCCAGCAGCAGTGATGTGGGCTGGTGATACACTGGTAACAAATGCTGACTTACTCCCCGCCCTCACAGAGCATTGTGCATTCTGGTGGAGGAAGCAGACTTTAATCACATAATCACACAAATACAATAAAAACTGTCAGTAGTCTCAAGAGCTTAGGTGACTCTAACCTAGTCTGGGGAAGCTTTCCAGAGAGAGCACTGCCTGAACTAAATCCAAAGGATGAACAGAATTTAATCCAGAGAAGAGGAGGGCCAAGCATTCTCGACAGAGGGAACAGTATGTGCAAAGTTCCACTAGTAGGAAGAAGTACGACCTGTATGAAAGACAGTGACTGGAGCAGAGCTAGAGGGAGTTGCTGCAGATGATTGTAGGAGGGAAGTGGTTTTTGTTGCACAGGCTACAGGAATCAAACGAGCCTCTGACAGTAGTCACACTACCTAAGTCACACTACCTAAATTGATTCTAACAGTTGGGTTTCATTGTAAATGGATAGTATGTGTTAATGAGAGAAATTTCTCAAACCCTAAAAGTTTCAGAATACATGCCTACATAGGCAAACCGTGGGTAAACTTTGGGGTTTGATAGTTTTTTAACTCTGATTTCTGGGGGCTCTCCCTAGCACAAAGGTGAAAACATGATGTAGAAGTAAACAAACAATTAGCCGTTTACCGTTTCACCGATTAACTGTGCAAAGTAATCTACTTGTTTTCTGTTTTATTACAAGTATGATTTTTTTCCTCTTTCATTGAGAAAGGTTTCCAGTAGCTGAGAAAAACAATAGCATAGCTACTGAGCTGTCCTTCCAGGTGAGTGGTGGCTGGAGCAACTTATTCTTGTGGGTGAAGGGGGCTGTGACGTAAGAACGCTGGAAAAGAGCCTCCTTTCGGAAAGCTGCCTGTGCTGACCACAAAACGACCCAAGCCGGGAAAATAGTTAAGCAACAGCCATGAATTTAGGAACTCAAATTAGGAAGAATACTGTTTAAAATACATGGTCAAGGAATGGCAGCCAACCAGCTCAGGCGAACCGATGACAGCACTCTTACTGCCGTTCACGCTTGTCATTTCACCACTCGGTATTCTCACATTCCGTGAGAGTCACCTTCCAGCTGCCAGGGCTCCTCCATCTTTTTCCACTGCCTCTGCCGCTCGGTGTGGAAGTGATAGACTTCTCAGTTACTGCGCCTCCCTGCAGCTCAGAGGAGGCAGTACAAAGACGAAGGCTCCCTTGGCTGAATATCTCTGACCTGGAAATCGAGCTAAGTCGTGAGTAAAATTTCCTTCCCACCACAAATTAGCACGTAAAGAAGTAGCTCTGGAGTAGGGAAATCAAGTCTTAGCAGAGACGGAATACCCATGAACTTGGGCAATGGACCTGTGCTGGTATATCTGGACATGCTGCTTCAGTTATCCATTTACATTATGTGCTTACACTGAGGTAGACAGACCCTTGCCGCACAAAGGTGAAAAGACCAGCATACATGCAAACAGCTATGTAGCAGCTGAATAATGTCATCCAGGGATACTCAGTCCTCATCCCTGGGACCTTTAAATGTCACTTCATATGGTTTAAAAGGGTCTTGCAGGTGTGTCAAGTTGAGGAGCTTGAGATGGCGTGAGTATCCTGGATTATCAGGTTGGGCCCTCAGTGCAATCACAAGTGTCTTTACAAGAGATGTGACGCAGCGAGAGGAGGGGGCAGCAACGTTATCACAGAGGCAGAGATTAGGGTGGTTTGCTACAAACCCAGGAGTGTGGATGGCCAGCATGAGCTGAAAGAGCCGAGGAATGGATTTTCCCGAGAGCCTCTGGAAGGCGCGTGGCCCTGCCGATGGCTTGATGCCAGCCCAGTGATGCTGACTTCAGATGTCTAGCCTCCAGCTTCATGAGACAATACATTTCTGTTTTTTTAAGCCGCCCAGTCTGTGGAAATTTGTCACAGCAGCCATAGGAAACTAATACCAATGATAACAAAAATTTTAATAGGGAAATGAACAAAGTATAGTAGAAAGGCTTTACAGAGGACCTGACAGTTTAGCTCCTTCCAGAAGGAAGATTAACGACTGACCAAGGGAAAGAGGCCCCCAAATGGATTAAAGAACCTGAAGGTATAAATTCACTGAGGGAAGAGAGGATGTGGCAATCCAGAGATTTATTTTTCTTACAATTATTAAACACTTGCATAGCTCTTACGATGTACCAGCTGCACTTTTAAAATATATTCTCATTTTGTCCTCCTAATGTTTTATAGATGAATACGGTGAATTGCTATAGTTAAATAACTTGTCCAAGTGAATATCGGGGGCAGGACTCGAAGTGGGCTGTGTGGCTATGTGCTCCTGCCCCGGCCCACTGCACCTTGCTGCCCGAGCTACAGCCTAGGTAAGGGATCTCGGGCGAGGCTGGAGTGGCAGAAGTGGGCCCATGAGGAAGGGCTCGGGCCAGCTCTGTGCGTAGGATGAGATGTGGTGCCTGGGCACTGCGGAGCCAGGGAAGAAATTTGGCAGATGTGATCCAATTGCTGCTCTAGAAAGGCCATTTACACAAATGTGGGATAAATTACAGGAGGGTGAATGCAGGGAGAGAGAGAGAAGG